CCCCCCCCCCCCCCCCCCCCCCCCATCTCACAGACTGCAGGAGAGAGAACAAGCCTTGAACACATCCATCAGAGAGGCTACAGCTAAAGTAAGACTTTGTCTCTCACTTCCCTCCATTACTGCAGCCCCCTGCCTGTGTGATGCATGTGCCGTTGAGCGGGCCCTGGGCATTATGGGTAATTGAGCTCTGAATAAAAGCGGGATCCCCTCCCGGCGGCACTTCAGCGCCTCTCTGCGGGTAATGGGTCCTCTGAAAGCGTGGGCTCGGGGTTTTCAGATGGTGCTCCACTGTCTCTCGCTAGCTCTTCTTACTGCGGGCTGTTTGCACCGGTATTAACGGGGAGGAGGAAGTGGGCCTGGGATCGGGGGCTCTGCAAAGAATGGAGACGTCAGTATGACTCTCAGTGATGGGACTGAGCAGGGTGGCCTGTTTTAACAGTTGACATGCTTCTGGCTAGCTGGCGTTCTGTCCATGCAATGGGTGTTAGCTGTGCCAGAGGTCAGAGGTCACGGATTGACCTGATAGTGCACAACCTCATGGATGAGAAGCTCTCTCTGCTCTTGTTCCTGGAGCGCTTTGAAGTGGGGCCTGGTCCTCTAGGTTCTGTCACACTAACCTACCCACTGGTAGCAGAAAATAACTGCCGCCGTGGAGGCTGGCCCGCCCCCTACAGGCGTACGGCCGACATGGCAAGTGTTCATCTTGCCGGGCACGGCCCGCCTACGTGGCGCAGGGCTGCCCATCTTTCTGTCAAAGCGCTCGGTGACTCAGTGGTTCTGATGGGTGCGGGCAGCTCTGCACGAAGGGCCTGGAACTGAACACAGATAATGGGCCTTTCAGAAAGAAAAGGCCGCTTTTTAAATAGGTAAAAAGTGTTCATTAAAAAAAGTATTTCTTTGAATGCTGTAAACAAAGCTGTCAGACCTTAACAAAGGTCCTTTAGAAAGGAGAATGTCATCTTCTCAATGCAAACTACTGTCTGTGGCCAAATGAGTTAAAGTCGAGTGCGTCAGACTCCTGTAAGCCTGCCAGGGGGGGTCTGGGATTGGTTGGTTGGGTCTGGGGGCGTGACAGCAGGTTGTCTTTGTAGGTGGCAGACCCGCTGACTGCCTTATGGTCTCAGTGTCCCACCCAAACCAGGGGGCGGTGAAATCACCTTGCCCTCAAGTTTCTGGAGATGAGTGGCAAGGCATGTCCGTGTAGGATGTCAGTCAGGTGATCTGAGCACCTGCCTCCGGGGAATCCTGATTGTGCCTCTGGAATGGAACAGGCCTGAATGCTGCTCCCAGTCCCTGCCCAGGCCACATTGATGTGGGAGATATTCTGTTGAAGGCAGTGATTGGTTCTCCTGGCGTTTCCTGTGGCCCCTCGAGCTGAGGTATCGCGAGCACCCCCCCCCCCCGCATACGATGGCAGGGTGCTGTCATGTGATCCGGTCCCAGTTCTGCCCAGTGCTGCCTGATTTCCTTGCTGTGTATGTAACCGCTGGACCGGGCTGAGCTTGGCCTTGCTGGACAGCGGGAACCTGGCAAACTTGCCGAATCTGCAGGCTTCTGCTGTCACCATCCTGCCCAGTCCTTTAGCCATCGGGGGGGGGGGGGATTCTGGGAGGCTGGAAGCTGAGCCTTTGCCAGCCTGACGTTGCACTTGGAGCAGTGAAAGGCCCCGGTGAGCGTTTCCTGTGTGTGTCCGGCTGTTTGGAAGGGTGCCGCTTCGCATTTCTGCACCCCCTCCAGCCCCAGACCGACGCCATGCAGATCTGCAGCTCATCGGAGCTCCACTCCCCCCCCCCCCCCCCCAGGTGGTCATGAGTCAGAAGCTGGGCAGCAGTCTGCGGAGGAAGGTCAGCGAGAGCGAGACGCAGCTGTTGGCTCTGCACGAGGCCAAGATGGCCGCCATCTCAGGTAGTGCCCCCGACATGAACTGACTGGGAGAGTCTGTCCTCCCTCATGGACGTACGAGGCTTCTGGCTGTGCTGCATCCGGCCTATGACCTACCGCGGGGGGGTGCTGAATGTGACCACAGAAATGATCCAGTGGCTGGGAACAGGACTGACTAGTAGTTACTTAGTATTGGTAAATCGTTATTAATAAATATTTTTGGTGCATTTTTAGTGTTAATGGTGAATCCTTTATTTACCATTTGCACAAGTACGTTGGAATGCTTCAGCAACCCCAGCTTGCTCTCCGCTGCTTGGGGGTCACCAACATGCGGTGCCCCTGGGGCTGGGGGTTAAGGGCCTTGCTGAAGGGCCCACGGACATGTGGCTGTTCTGTTGAGGCCGGGGCTCAAACCGGCAACCCAATCACAGGCACAGAGACTTAGCCCGCTGAGCCAATCACCATTCAGTAGTTTATCAGAACCAGAAAACTTTTAACCAGGAGAAAATTGTTTGTGATTACCACTGAAAAGAACAGAAATAGGCAATACGCAGTATCACATACAACCATTTCTGTACATCACTTAATTCAGGGTTTCTCAACCCGGTCCTCGGGGACCACTAGACGGTCCATGTTTTTGCTCTCTCCCAATTCCCTGCCAATTGGGAGAGAGCAAAAACGTGGACCGTCTGGTGGTCCCCGAGGACTGGGTTGAGAAACCTTGACTTAATTGGTATATAACAGATGGTGAGAAATAGATGAATGATTATGATTGAGTACAGGAAGCATTGCACTAGGAAGATAAATAAGTAGACAGACATTGACATAAGTATTATTGCACGGGTCCTGCTTGATTCAGCAGTTATTCAGTGTGAAAAGCAATCAGAGGGAATGATGTCCTGAGATTCCCCCCCAAAGGACACTGGGTGTGGCCACTTTGTGATTTGTGTCTAAAGGTGCCCTGAAGATTTATTTGTATCCGATTTGTGCTGATGTCCGGCCGTCTCCCGCGCAGGGGGCGACTTCTCCAGCGCAAAGGAGGTGAAGGTGGAGATGAAGTGTCTGTATGGGGAGCGGGACCATCTGGAGGCTCTGGCCAAGAGACTGCGGGCTCTGAGCGCGAGGAGCAGCCAGGAGCTGGCCAGGATGAAGGAGGAGCACGGCCTCCTGAAGGGGGAGCTTCAGGAGAGGGAGGCGCGCTTCGGTAAGAGCGCTGGCGGGCAGCTGACTTAACCACACGCTCAGCGCAGGGTAACCACACGGTCAGCCGCTGCAAGCACATGGGAAACACAGGGTAAGCACATGGTCAGCCGCTGCAAGCACATGGGAAACACAGGGTAAGCACACGGTCAGCCGCTGCAAGCACATGGGAAACACAGGGTAAGCACATGGTCAGCCGCTGCAAGCACTCGGGGAAACACAGGGTAAGCACATGGTCAGCCGCTGCAAGCACTCGGGGAAACACAGGGTAACCACACGGTCAGCCGCTGCAAGCACACGTCAGCTACCATAACAGTGCTCCGGTATAGCCAATTCTATAATAAAACACAAGAGGCTAGTGTTTTAAAAATGTGGAGATACAGACAAGCTGAAATGGGCATCCAGACCGGTTTGCAGTGCCGAAATGTATCTTGCCCCATCAAAACCTGCAGAGCGTGTGAACATGCGACCGCAGTCGATTCGCAGAGCGATACGTAACGGTGACTGACAAATTTGGGGTTATAGGGTCAATGTTGGAATGACACGTGTTTATACACACGCTGCTCTCGGAACAGACACCCCAGCCCTCCTCCGCTAAGGCTAATTCATGACTTCTCTGCTTAGATTGGTCCTCCCCCCAACCAAGATGAAATGTAGCCATTTTCTATAAATCAGCAGACAGCTGCTCTTCCTTCCCTCTCAGCACCCCCCCCCCCCCCCCCCCCCCCCCCCCATCTTCCCCCCCCCCCCCCCCCCCCCCCCCCCCCCCCCGACAAATAATTTTCCCTCTTTTCTTTTCCTCCCATCCTGTAGACCCGAATCCCCCTGTGCATTATGGGTAATTGGCTAACCCTAACCCCGGGAGCTGTCCTGGAGCAGCATTTGGTTCCTGTGAACAAATATTTTGGGGGGGTGGGCACTGTGATGCAGTGGTTAGCACTGTCGCCTTGCACCTCTCCACCAGGGTTCCATGTGTGGAGTTTGCATGTTCTCCCCGTGTCTTCGTGGTGTTTCCTCTAGGTACTCCAGTTTCCCCCCCCAGTCCAAAAACATGCTGAGGTTAATTGGAGTTGCCAAATCGTGTACCTGTACATACATGTGTGAGTGTGTGGCGTGTGAGTGTATGGCGTGTGAGTGTATGGCGTGTGAGCGTGTGGCGTGTGAGCGTGTGGCGTGTGGATCGGCTCCCAACTCCCCATGATCTTGAACAGGATAAGAGGTTACAGAACATGAATGGATGAATTTCTGCTTATAATCTGAAGCATTTGCCTTAAATCATTTGTGTTCTTTATTTGACATGAACCCTGAGTTCGTAGCATGCAGGTTGAAAGTTTTGTGAGGGTGGGGTACGCTCTCACTGGTTTGTAGTGGGGGGGGGGGGGGGGTAGTTGGTTTGAAGACCTTGTCAGCGATTATAAGTGTGCTGAATAAGATTTTGGAAATATTAGGAGTTTTGGGAGGGGAGTAGACAAAATCTGTGATGAATTTTCTCATGTACTGTGCCACACCTCTGGTGATGGGAACAGCCCACAGATGGCTTCTGACATCAGTGGGGGCCCCCCCCCCCCCCAAGTCCATTACTCACTTATTGCTCCTTAGAAGAAAGATCAGGTCTCTCTCTGAGGCCGGGATGCAGCCGATAAATCAGGCGTCCAGCTGACATGTCTGGGTCTGCGCTCTGCGTTGGGGCTGCTGGCCCGTCGGTTAGTGCTCAGGGAATGTTCCAGAACGGCTGTGGTGTAGATAATGTGCGCCGGGTTCCTCTTCGTTAATGTGCCTACGAAGAGGGGCATATGTGTCATTAATGTTTGATATTGTTTGCGGTGTGATTAACGTGACCCAGTTCAGACCGCGGCACTGTCTGTGCGAACACTAGGGGGCAGCATTTCTCTGAGAAAATCTATTTGGACAAATTCTGGCGGTTGGGAATATGTGACACATGCAGCAAACATTCTAGATGTTATTTGGTTATAAATATTTTAATCCTTATTATAGCTTACAGGGATAGGTGATACTGTTTTGCTTGACCAAAATATGTGATGTGTAATAATTGTTGTTATGGGATTCCCCCCCCCCCCCCCCCAATTCTTATTTGCTGCTTGCATGTGACTCACCTGCTGCTGATCTGGTGGAAATGGCATGACTGGTAACCGCCATGAGACCGTGCCCCCAATCCACCCCGTGTTCTCTGTCTATTCAAATACCAGTCTGTTACTCGAACCAATAAATCAGACTCGTCAGAGATGACAATTTGACAAGGTAATTGTCCTACCCATTGTCTTTAAAGACCTATTGTTTGGCAAGCGGATGAAATTAAATACTCCCCACCCCCCCACTCCACTAAGTGTAGGTTGGGTGCTTTTTGCATAACGTTCCAGAAAAGCCACATGAAAAGCGGAGGTGATACCTGCCCCATGTCACCATACTGCCCCTGTGGTCCCTCAGACTGCAAGCTTGCTGTCTGCTTCGCTGCTGTAAACTGCGCAGGAGTTCTTCCGTGAGTCTTACAGAATCTTTGTGATTTTTGTATTTATTCCGTGGACACCCCCATGTCTTCAGTGCCATAATTACTATGGCCTTCACCTCCATGGTCCTGCTAACAGGGATCCTGATGGAGGCAAATGGGGGTCTGGCCCACCCCAGGACCAAAACTAGGGTGATGCTCTTACGATGTGCCCCCACTGCCCAGCCTTCCACGCTAATTGTGCCCAATGGCATCTCCGAGACAGAGATTTCATTTTGGACAGGAGATTTTGCAGGTGTGCTACAGAGGGAGGTGGGCAGGGCTGGGGGCCATGTTTAACTTTGTGTTTGAGAGGCCTTCCAGAGAGCGTGCATCACTTTAAAAAGCTTTGACTGCTTGTCTGTCTATATGAATACATGAGTAAGCATTTGAGTCACTGATTGTGATTAATTCCTGCATTCCTTGATGAAGTGTACCCCCACCATACTGACAAAACACGCGATTTATTTCCTACTTCCTGTTTGTATAGTGAGATTCTTAATCCTCCCCCCCACCTGGATTTCATGCATCACATTAATGGCCAAGGGCAATCTTAATGCAGTGTAATTGCAGTAGACTTCATAGTTTATCCACAACCCCGTGACCTGCAGCGTGGCCGGTGTATGTTGCCTGGTGCCTGGTGGGACCCCAGTTTGAACAGATATCCTCCCTCCCAGTGTCTTACTGGGACGTCCTCATCACCCGACGTGCCTTTAATGGCAGAAACACAATTGTCTTGTGGTCTGGCTCACAGCACAGTCATTTTTTAAATTGAAAGATGATTTTATTTAAAGAAATTAATAACTGATAAGTTTAACAGCTATCCTGAGCAACAATTATCACCTTTACTGTACATCTAAATGTGCCGCATTTACTCTGAAGTGCCTTAACCCTGAGCCACTGGTGCAAGTAGCCGGGTTGGTCCTTGGTTATGGGTGGCTGTCGGTATCGTCGGAATAATCGGCTGTGTTAAGTTCTCAGTTACGCTACCAGTAAGTAACATTTTGCTAATTGTTTTGATGCATTTTTTGGGGGGGGTGTAATGTGTGAGGGGTAGAGAGGTGCTGGGGGCAGAGGTTATTTAGATAATTACGTACACCTGGTAAATAATTAGTAAACGTCTCCGCATCTCCCCGTTTTGGATGACTTTAGGTATTAGACGGAGGGGTGTGGGTAGCTTGCAGTCATGTGACACTGCCAGGGAGTATTGCAGCCCCCCCCCCCTTTGTTTATGAGAAGACGTGCCTCATGGCGCCATATTGGGCTGAGAAAGTCCATCCTTCTGTACAGTGATGCCATTGGCACCTTCGGAGTGGCAGGCAAATGTCATGTGACTGACGAGAGCAGGTGATATGGGGGGGGGGGGGAGTGGTTCACACCTCCCTGAGCTCTATAAAAGCCTGATGGATCTCTGTATGGCCTCGGGCAGTTTCATTTGGTTGCCCCTGTTCCTAACCTGTCACTGAGAGCCTTTGGTCCTCGCTGACGACTTCCAGGACCCAAATGGCCGCTCTCCCCCCCAAGGGTACTGGAGAGGGAGGTGGACGAATGTGGTGCTCCTCATCGGGGGGGGGGGGGCGATCCGGCACTTGGGGTCACTGGGGTCCCAGAAGAGTCTTCAATGTTCAACAAACAGTATGAAATTAACATCAGCTGTTACATTTTTTAAATGGTGGACTCCAGTTCCCATTGTTGCTGGTTTTAATGTTTCTGGCATGTTCTCTGTGTTAATGTACATCTGGCCGAATTGTTCTGTTCTAGCATGAAATGTTCTACCTCCAGGGTTGTAACAGGTTCTAACAGGCCAAGTACCCATTATGGTCAATTGGGCGACATCCATCTTTTCTTAAACCTCCATCCTGTAAAATAATTTTCAGTTGTGCCGCAGTGAACGCAGTGACATAGCAAGAGGCCCTTAATCACCTCAGGCTGCCCTTGCCGATTGCACGGTTGATGAAGAAATGGCCATAATCGTCGCTTTCGCTTTCGATTGGGAAAACGCAAACTCCTCTTGTTTGGGCAGAAGCGCTTGGCGCAGGAAGCGGACCAGCGCGCACGACGGCAGATCTGTCAGCCCCGGCCGCCGCTTTGGGTTCCACGTTCGTTCCTTTGCCTGCACTTCTGATGCTGCGTATAATTAGCCAGACCTGTTTCCTCCCTCAGACTGCGAGTGTCGTACAGTCATGTCCTGTTATTGTATTAAGTGGCATGATGAATTTTCCCCTTGGGATCAATAAAGTTTGTATATTTTGTACATTTATGTATCTTGCCACTTCTCCATCTATCCGTCCTGATCAGTGTTTGATTCCTCCACCTCCTTTTATAGGACTGAAAGGTGTTTGCTTTGGATGAAAGCATTGGATTTGGAGGTTGGGGGGGGTTGAATAGTTAATTACTATTAACGATTGATGTAGGAATGTCGGCTGATTTTTTTCATTAACGAGGCTCTGCTCGTTAATGTATAGGAAATGCGGCTGTGCTATTTTAATCTTCAGCAGGTGTGTCCTAGACCGCCGTTGAGGTCTGTGCGCTGCGTTAAGGGCCCCCATACATGCCTCCCCCATACACGCCTCCTTTTGTATTCTCAGCCAAGAGCAACAGGTTTCTCCTCCAGCGGGAAGTGGATTAGGCTGCCCTCCCCCCCCCGTCCCCATGGGGAGAGGCACGGCACGCCGTCTCATCTCCTCCGCCCTCGTTGGAGGGCACGATCAGTCTGACAGAGGGATACTTTTATCCTGAACAAACACAATTGGTCCTATAAAAGTCATACAGAGGCCATTAACCCCAAACATATATTGAATCGGTGAGTGAGGGGGAGGGGGCACTTGGGGGGCCAATCAGCTTTCAGCTGGGGCCAGTGCCCTTGTGGCCCCGCCCCTGAATATGCTATATAGCATCTCTTTTGTTTGAGGATCAACCTGTAACCTTCTTCAGACATGAAGTTCGTTTTTTTTTGTGGGGTATAAGTGAAGAACATAAGTGACTGTAAGTGTCATAGGAATGTCAAGAGGGGGGGGGGTTTCATCCGTGGATGGTGGGACTCGTGCACCGTGCCTCACGCTTAGCTCGTGGGCTTTCGGCCCTGGGTTTGGGCTGTGCTGAAGCCTCCTCCTGTTAGTGTCTCGCTGATGCAGAATGGCACCAGGACGTGGGAGATGGAAAGACGCCATGAAGCTGGGCTTCGAAACATGGTCTCCAGGCAGACTGACCGAGCTTGTGGGAGTGAAGCTGCAGAAATACGGACAGGGAGGGTCCGCCGTCCTGCAGCGTGTTTTGGCTTTAAGTGTCGTGTTTGTGCTCTTGGGGCTGGTTACCCCCCCCCCCCCCGCACCGCTTATTTTCACCGTCACCTGTGCCCCTATCGCAGCACCAATCTCCGCTGTTAATCTGACATGCTCGGATGTAATCAGTCATATTTTTATATTAATTGCATAAACATCTTCAGCAGAGTGCAGTATTTCTCTTTTGCTCCAAGGGTAAAACATATGAGCAGACAGAGGGGCAGACGGTCCTCTCAATCACACACTCATACATGCTCACTTCCTGTGGGATTTGAACCTGTAACTCACCTAGTGTGCTTACGCGTCCTTTCCTTTAAACCCATTACCACCATGTGCTTCTGCCATTAACCCCGAACCTGGAGTCAGCAGCATTTGGTGGGGTGGGGGGGGGTGGGGGGTGTTGGATTTGTCTTTGGTTACAAGCAGGGTTGTGTGAGCCAGACGTGCAGATGGGGGGGAGCTGGTGGTCCTTGGGGATTCCGACCATGGTGCTGAATACAGAGGTCGGGGCGACGGCCTTGGGCTTGCGGGACATTGGGGGTTCCTGTAATTATTCAGCCCGATGAAATTTTGAAAGTAAATGATGCTTTATGTGCTACTAGCAGAAGTGCAGGTAGCGGTAAGTTGGAGTGCAGGTAGCGGTAAGTTGGAGTGCAGGTAGCGGTAAGTTGGCGTGCAGGTAGCGGTAAGTTGGAATGCTGCTTTTCACATCCCCCGTCGTATTTCCACTGAGACACACGCACATACAGGCGAGAGCAAAGATTTACTCACGGGCCCAACGGCAGCATCAGTCTCCCGGCTCTGGGATTTGAACCGGTGACCACAGCAGGGTTAATATGCTGTATGAAGGGCTGATTTGAGTTTCGACATGTCAATGGGGGGCATTTTTAATGATTGTGTCCCATGAAAGCGACAGAAGAACACTTTGTTTTTTGGAGAGGCTAATTTTGTGTGCTGGTATTGAAGTAGTGGTTGTATTTGTGATTATGCATGATTTGAACATAAAATTTTTCCCATTTTTTATTTTTGCCTTTTACTGATTGTACAGGACAGTAAAAATAGCTCCAGGTCTGTTTGCCTTTAACTGGAGTGCAATCTGCAGACGTGTTTTTAAAAATAGGGGCGAACTACTTCAGGAATTATATTTAAATGGCGTCCCTTTGCGTTATTTTGGGTATTTTGCCTGCACAAGCATGAAAGGATTTGTTCTCACTAATTACCTCAGTCATCCAGCCAAATTTAGAAGTTTAGGTTTGATGTCTGGTTTTTCACCTGCTGATCGTTACAGAGCAACTACATTACCCAGCATCCCCTGGGAAGATCACTGACCCCTGGGCACCTCCGAGTGTTTCTGTCCGTTTCACTGGAGGCCCAGAAAGACCAGTGGCTGGTGTTTGTGTGTGATGCCATACAAAGTGAACACTCCTGAGATTGCGCTTCTGAATTACCATCGTCAGCGAGTAACTGCCTACCCTCATGCCAACAAAAATCCACACATCGTTTTCTGGCAACCGTTTGTGTTGCTAATTATACAATGCCATTACTGTCAGCTGTCCAGACATCCCACTTGTTTGTGGACAACTGCATCTGCCATATATTAATTAATCCCTCATGTATATAATCGTCAGAGAATGCCGCTGCACTTGGTGTGACTCACACATTGCCATAAATGAGAATTAGAAGGGTTCTGGGTAGGGCTTAATCCTGTGGGGGGGGGATGCAGGAACTGCATCCCGTAAACCTTTCACTTCCTAATACTTGTGGGAAATCCAGATGGTTTGGGCTCTGTTTGGCAGATAAGGGGGGGGGCAGGGGGGGACATCAGCTCCAATGCTGTTGCCCTGCTGCAAGTCTCCAGGCCCTAAACTCATCGTACGCGAACCAATTAACACCTCTCTGTTCACTTTCGTACACTTTCCGGAATCTTTCCGCATTCTTGAAGTGTAGACTGCCACAGATTGTCCATAAGCAGAACGGAACGGGAAGCCAGAATGGGACAAGTGTTAATTAAATCACCTGGAACGTAACTTGGCCGGTCCAGGTTTCAGGTTCAGAGTGTCCGCTCCACTATCAAGGTTCTACCGGCCTCCACCGTAGCTTAATTACCCCCACCCCCAACAAAGCTCGTATCTTCTCCTCCCATCATAAAGACTGAGCTGTGTTGCCAGAATCGGCTGATCTCTCGATCGATGTTAATGTAAACTGTCACTCGAGTCCCTGTTGTCCTCTCCCATGCGTAATGAGTAACGTGCCGCCATTCCTACTGAGCCTGCCGTCACTCTGTTGCCGCCCCTTGCAGAGGAGGCGCTGAGGAGCGACGCCGTGAAGTACGTCGAGCTGCTGGAGGACAGGCTGCACAGGTAAGGAGGCGTCTGGGGGGGCGGAGCCTCCGTGTTGCATCCGATTTTCCTCCCACTCATTATGCAAAGTAGATGATCCAAGTGAAACCATTCGAGTTACACTAGTGGTCAACCAGTCTGTCACCAATCCCAACCATTCGAGTTACACTAGTGGTCAACCAGTCTGTCACCAATCCCAAC